AGAGATTAATTAGAAACTACTGATATACTCTGTAGATGTCTTTACATATATTTATATTTTTTTAAAGCAGCAATGGTTCTAGACCTTACTTGAGTAAGTACAAAAATATATTCTTCCTCTGCAAAATCTAATCCTGCTAAAACAGAAATAAAAATCCTACCTGTATTTTTTTCCACGGAGCACATGAATTTACCGGACTTCTTACATTATGTACAAGATGCTACAGACTAAATAGAACTAGTGTAATGTTTTTAAATTGGTATGTTTCTATGTACTGTGGAAATACAGTACAAAGTGATAGTAATACCCATAGCCAGCAATATCAATGTATGCCTGATTTAAATATATTCCCAGCACTATTGGAGTATATTAAATTTTGCTTTTGAACTATAGTAGCCATTATGGCTAGAAGGTAGTATTTTAATTCTAGCATTATACCTTGCTGAGGTCCCTTCTCTCCCCAAACACCATCCTCCCCAGGCATTTCCCAACCCGGAGCGGGCAACCATAGATGATAGAGTGTTCAATTAGAAATTGTTTTTAGGTTTTAGAACATGAATGCTGCAAATGGATGTACTTAAAAAGTTCAAGATACTGAAAGTCATACAGCATATCTACCTGATCTAGCAAGGGGAATCCATTCACAGAAGTGGGTTTCTGGGCACTTAGTTATGCAGATACCCTGGAAGCTACATTGCAATTGTCATCCAGGTCCCACTGAACTGCATGTATCTTTTGATGCAGATGGCATTCACGCCTACCTCTATTGAGCACCTACCACAACTAGACTGGAGTCTATGTAGTCATGAACGGAACTAATTTCTCACTATTTTTATACACAAAGACCTATACATGAAGACATACATATCCTGAGCTTGTCATGCATTTACATGTGATTTACAATTACTATTGTATTTCAATACAACATATTAAAAACTGTCTCTCATTAACCATTATGTATTGGTTTTACAACAGAAGCTGCCCTGCTGCTTCCCCTGAAGTGAATATCCATAAGAGGCTTATTTTGTGTGATACCCTCTTATAGATCATATTGTGCAGGATCAGGAAATTCTTTTTCATTTATATCACACAAATTAATTAAAACCCTGTCGCCATTCTCTTCATACCCTTCAGGAGAAACCAGAGTTTCTGACATTTGAGAGTGGGGCTCCCTACTACAAGGATTCTGTTTCATTATCATCTTTACCACAAATATAGAGGCACTTACGTTTTCCTCCATCAGCTGCCATATTTGCTACATCTTCCCCCCAACACTGTGGACCACCACTGGTAATTGCTGTTGCACTATAGCACAATAAAGTTTTAACAAACTATTACACATTCTACTAATTCCTCTGAAGTCCCAGTTTTTGTTTTTGTTTTTAAAAAATCAGAGGTGCTAGTAGGTCATGGCAATAAATTATTATACTATTGTTATAAATGAAATAAAGTAAAGATTTCTGTTCAGATACTCTTTAAAAGGACAATGAAAGAAGTTGCTTGAGATCAATTATTAAAGGCCTGATTGTAAGACCAAAATAAAAGGAAACTAAAAAGAGGAAGCAAGCCTCTCGCTCTTACATCACAATTCAGCAGAAGAGAGGTAAAATATCTTGCAGTTTGGAAAAGTGCATGGGTCGAAAGGCTGGACTTCAAGCACCCTCTGGGTGCCCCAGGGTTCATCTGTTGGTCGAACCGAATAGCAGCAGTCAGCTTGCGCAAACATCTCCACTCACCTTGCAAAACGCTACATTTAGCAAAAAGCAGAAGTGACATGCGGCAGAACTATTTCACATAGATTATCTTTTTAACTCTAAAACTTATACTAAGCTTGCCTGCTTGCTGTGTATTGAAATTAAGAGTGTATTGCTAGACAACTGTCATAAGAACATAAGAACATAAGAGATGCCAATGTTGGATCAGGCCAAAGGCCCATCCAGCCCAACATTCTGTATCACACAGTGGCCAGAAATACCAGGTGCCATCTGGAGGTCCACCAGTGGGGCCAGGACAATTAGAAGCCCTCCCACTGTTGAACCCCCCCAAGCACCAAGAAGACGGAGCATCACTTGTCCCAGAGCCCCTGGCTGGTGGCTACTGATGGACTTCTGATGGACCTCTGTCAATGTAGCAGTCTCGAAGAACCTGGCTACAATCAGCAATTTGGGTGACAGGAAAAGCACCTAAAATACCTGGCTATCCAGTGGAATGATTAACAGTTGGGCAGTTGAAACATAACATAGGCAGAAGCTTTGCAAAGGAATTACTATGTTTAATTTTGCATATTTTTATATATTCTTAGTGTATATGCTGACCGGCCTAAAATGAGGAACCTGGCATTTTTGACTCTGATAAACAAGTCTGTTGCAGAGATGATGGCCCAAGACAGGCCTGATGAAATGGGACATCTTGTGGTCTGAAAGTCCCCATTTACGGAAAAAAAACGTCCCGATTTACGAGAAGACCTGTCTCAAGATACTTGCGGTGGGCTATTGTGGGTTATGAAGAAAGATTAGGAAAGAGTAGAGGAGGTTAATACCATGTTTGGCATAAAGGAATTATGCCCTTTTTGGGAAAGTAGTGGGCTTGTCTCAAGAAAAAGAAGAAGTGACTAGGCGGTCGGTAATTAGAAGTTGTAACTCCTGACTCTCAGTTCTGGGAGGTGGAGAGGGTGTTTCTTTTCTTTTTTTACCACGCCGCGACAGGATAAATATCAGCTCCCAGACCTCATTCAGGCATGTTCTCTCAGTGCCTATTGGGCGGTGAGGGGCACCTGCCGCTTGCAAGCTGTATTCAAATAAAGCTGTTTGACTGAAGGAGACTGTCTTGCGAATTCATTTTTGGTAAGTGCAAATTGCGCTAACGACACTATTACTGTACTATGGTGCAACAGTAATTACCCTCTTTTTGAGGGGGAAGTGTTGGGCAGATGGGCAAAAAATGAGGGCAGGACCTTCAAAAGCTATGGCTTCCTATACACATGGCTCCCTGATACTTGTGAACTACATTGTTTCTGGGGGGAAATCATATGAAACCAGGTTTGAGAAAGAACGTACTGAAGATGGGGAAAGTCTAGAAACTGAACAATTAAGGGATGCTGTTGTGTGGATGCTTCCCCCAAAATGCTGCAGTTTGAAAGGCAAAGCAGAGCAAAAACTCCATAGTGGGATTAAGAAAAAGTTAGAGAGAGGAATGTGGTTTTAAACTGCCCTTTCCACTTCCTGAACTTTCTGAGATACACCACTTTCCAATTACAGAAACAGCTTGATCTACAAACACTGAGAGAGTTCCCACTCTTTTGAATGTCCTGTCTTTGGATATTGTTGTATAACTCTGATTTTGGAGCAATAATTATTGATATTCTTCCTCATTATCTGTTGTAATCTGTTTTTAGAAGACTACTTCTGCATTCTGTATAAAATACCAGACAGATTGCAACTGGAGTTTCCTTAGCTTCTAAAAAGTTTTCTAAAAGCTGCATTTGTTGCCACATTGATTCAGCAAAGATGAAACAAAAAAATCAGTCAAAGGAATATGTTGATAACATTAAGTTTTAGTTAGTAAAACATAAGATGACTTATTTTGGCTCAGGCAGGGGTCCAGGGTGCTGGAGAGTGAGATGTCAGTGGTCAGCCAGATCAATTTTTGTTTGTTCATTTGTGTTAGTGTTTTGTTAGCTGGTAATTATTAATTTTCTAATACTAAATGAATTATTTATGTATGGTACATTTTGAATATTTTACTGCAATATCCTTTTTCTTATCTTTGCTACTATGACCCATGGCTTTTGGCAATATAAATTTAATTGTATGCCTAGAGTGTATGCTAGTACAAACTATTACATTTCAAAATTATGTCATAAGTCATAAAAAGTCATAAAAACTACAATTTTCCATGTTCAGTTAAATGTGTCTGTTTTTGCCAGATTTGAACTACAACATACAACATCTGGCAGGTCTCTTCTTTAGTCAATATTTTACTCTTTTTAAATGAATATTTCTCACTCATAGAATGCATATTTTCAACTCAGGTGAGATTTCTTCAAACTCAGTGTGATCGGAATTATGGCATAAAGAGATCGCTATGCCGAAGATGTCTCCTGTCAGTAATTCCTGAACTACCAATTAATGGGACTAACTAATGGAATTTTGACTCATCAGAATCCATCTGTCATTTCCAATGCCTGATCTCAGCATGAATGAAATTGAACATATTGTGCTGAATGACAGTCAATACTAAAAGTCATGGAACTCATATAAAAAACTCCTGTGACTCATTGGTGTGTTCTGACCTAAATCATTAGGAATAACATTTTCCACATGATTATCCACACAGAAGCAGTTGCCACCATCAGCTCACCTCAGAACAGAAATGACAATGGTTCCCCTAGAACTGTGAAGTGAAATCACCCTGATATATTTGCATCCCACTGTACTAGAAACTCTTCCATTTTTCCTATCAAGATTTGTATCTCTGTTCCATATGTAATTGCATGCTGATTTCATATATAGTTACAGTTTACAAAATGAAGACAGAATACTGGTAGGGGGGAAAGGGATTGTGTGAGCAAGCGAGTACAAAAGCGTAGCATGACAAGTTTAAACTGTCCTTTTATCTGCCACAATATCAAGACACTGCTTTTGTTAAAGGATTGTCCGTATGGCTTTTTCACAAAATATTATATCTTTGTGTTCACGTTGCTACCAGTGCATTACTGAGTAACCAGCACTGCTGAAGTAACCACTAAAATTGTAGCTCTATTCCAGTGTAAAATTACTAGATATAAACTACAGAGAAGCACAAGAAGTCCATCTATATTTTCTCTTCAGAAATAATTGTTCCTCATTTGCACAGCCATATTTAAGAAGAAACATTGCTGTACCCAGAGCGAAGTGATGCAGTTAATCAGTACTCGAGGCATGTTCTGCAGAAGACTGTGTTCAGATTTTACTTCAGTGTCACAGAAGTTGGCATTTTCATTAGTCTTCAAAGAGAAATCTTTATTCTTCTCCAGCAGGAGGTGGTGGCTCACACAGCTTGTACAACCTACAAAAAACCAAAGAACAACTATTACCCTAGCTTTAAGAAACAGGCTGTGAAGAACAACTAAACCCTAGTATCATAAACTTGGTGGAAGATGGGAGGCTGTGATGTTTAAGTATTACATGGTTAACTTGTACAACCTACAAAAAAACAAAGAACAACTATTACACTAAACCCTAGCTTTAAGAAACAGGCTGTGATGTTTAAGTATTACATGGTTATTTTCATAAACTATGAAATTCTTGACTTAGAGGAAGAACACAGATTGCAAGATACTATCACTACTTAGGAAGGAATGCAGCAATACACTGTGGTGATTCCAGGCCCATGAGATGTTAGGAACAATGTGAATTTGTTATACTGTCAAGTTGCATCTGTTCTGAGAATCAAGAATCATATTATCTCTATACCACAGTAAATCTATTTCTCATCAAAAATTCCTCCTCCATAAATTTAATTTAAGGGAAAGATAAGTTTTCATGTGAAGGACAACTCTCCATGCCTAGAATCCCCCTAGATCTTTATGTTCTAGTGTTTAAACCTAGATAGGTCATTACATAAATAAACATGAATATGTGAAGCACCCTACCTCCACCACAGATAAAGTGGTTTAACTTGATCTTATGCATATTTACCCAGAAGTAAATCCCATTGTATTCCATAGTGCTTATTCCAAAATAAGTAAATAAGGTAAGAACAAAGAAATTCTGAAAAGATATAGGAGATGAGAGATTGCATAGAGGACAGAGGCCTCCATAGGGTTTATACAGCATGCCATGCACTTTTGGGGCTGGAGCTGTCCAGTGTATGGTGGGCACCTCTGAGGAGGAGTGGAAGGCCTAATAAATAGCCGGACTTAATCACAATTAACAGCTGTAATGAATCAGGATGAAATATTTAACAGTATTAGAAAATTACAAGCAGAGGACCATGAGATTCAGGGGGGGAATCCCATCATTTTTGTTCCCTCCTTCTGCTCCCTCACCAGGACACCCACTTACCAGCCAGCCCACCCATCTGCAGAGCTGTTGCCAATGGCTGCCTGCATCACATGGCAGGAGTGCAGCTCCAGATCTGTTCTCCTTGTCATCCCCCGCAGTGCCACCACATTCACCTTCCTGGCTTATTGTCAGCTAGCTGCCATGGAGTTCTGTGTGACATTGTATGCTCCCAGCTTATGCTCATCCCCCCCCCCCACCCCCCGAC